GAAACAGGGCGATCGGGAGCCCTGCTGGTCTTAGCCCCGGAGTCGAGTCTGCGTTGCCTCCGGTGCGGACCGCGCCTTCCACGAACCCAGAGCAGCTCGAGTCAGGCTCGGGTAGGCGCTGAGCCCAGGATGCTGAGTTGTCTGGATCCCCGCAGTGCCTGGAGTGACATTGGTCCGGCTTTGTGTTTCCGCTCCCTGGCCGCTTGAGGGGGAAGTGACCAGAGCTGGCTCCTCCTTGCTGGGTAACCGAGGCTTAGGTGCTCTGTCACCAAGTGCGAATTAGCTTTTCTCTCTTGCTGCTCTGTCCGTTTTTATTCTTGGGCTGCATGGAAGTGCTCAGAAGTGAGTTCTGATGTCTAGAAGTGTTGAAAATTAGAGCTGACGTACAGCTGTGCAGAAGAAATAAGTTCTGATTTCGTTTATTAAACAAGATAGTTGCAGCCAAACTAGAAATTAGATTTTTATCTACATTATCTGGTTTTCTTCAGACATTTCTTCAGACGTTTACGACATGTTCAACTAATCTTACATATTCAAGAAAATTGCAGTAGTAGAGAATGGATATAATGAGACTAGATAGATGTAGCAGCAGAATAGGTGTTTTGAAACGAGGTTACCGTGGGTTGGATGAATGAGAAGGGAGAAAATTGTGGCGATAGACTGTTATTTCAGTAAGTTCGATGGGAAAAGGAACATTTAGGTTAGCGTGTACGGGTCATATCTCCTATAGTTTGTGTGCATTATATCATTTTAGAGAAGAATGGGTACTTCAGTAGAAAATTTAATAATCTAGATACTATCTAGATGACATCTCTTGGATTATCCGATTCTAAGAAAGCTATTTTACAGCTGCATAAACTATAGATAACTGATGTCAGTACTAAATAATTTTTGTCTCTAGACATGCCAAGTCTGCCTTCTTAGAGGCTCAGTGAAAGTTTTACCTTCTTGTACATTCATTTTAATATTCTTGATCTATTAATGTACTCAATTTGGGGATTCCCTTTATCTTTCATCTGCCTGGTTCTCTTGTGAGTTAAATAAAATCCCGAACACATGTTCATTTTTATATTTGAGTGAGTCATGATTTTTACCTTTAAAAAAAAATCTCAACATTATTAAATGTTATGGGAAGGGACAGCCACAAACGGAAAAAATGATTTTAATAAAAGTTGGTGTAAGAGTAAGTATGATTGAGTGTTGAGATAATGCATATTCTGAAATTCCCAATACATACACTAATTCAAGAGTATAACCTTGGTTTCTTATTTAAGTTTCAAATTGCTCAATGCATTAGTGCTTATAGTTAAAAATAGTAGTAAAGTTCTTTTGATATGAAGATGGTAGTCCTGACTCACCATTACAACACGTGCTTTGGATGGTTTTGAATGATTGTGTTAAATTTGACCTGGCCCGTTGACACGGCTTAGAAATATTTTTGTTATACTGTAATTACTGTTGGCAGATTTGACCGCTTCTGTTTGTTTTTTCTCCTAAGTAACTTAAAAGAGGTCATTCTTTCTATTTGTCTGAAATAACTCCTAAATACAATAGATTGGATGTTGGGATACGGATATTGTACACGAATATCTAATGTACCCTGAAGTTTTAAATATTGAAATACAAAGACATAAAGAATGGTAAACCTGTAATTTATGCAAAAACAGTCAAATAAAGCTGGTCAAAAATGGAGGTCAAAAGCATGCACCAGCTCTCTTTGTGGTTTTAGCCAGGCCTGTCTAATCAATGTAAGCATTTTGAAGCACAAGTAAACAGATTTAAAGTTTTCCAATTAAATATGACAACAGTGATCCAAGGTATTCTGCCTGATTCTGCCCAGTCTTGAACAATAAAAATCTAATCTCTCTAAGCCAATCCAGTTATTCATATAAAGCACTATTCAGAGAATTTCTTAAACTAGAAGATGACAAGATTTGAGAAAAAAAGACAAGCTATAATGTATTGAGAACCATTTACACTCATGCATTTGAATGATAAAGAGTACATAGTGGGTTCTCTTTTGTCTTTAGGTTTTCATCCTCAAAGGTCCTGAAAATAACCCTTAGGATGGTGTGGCTAAGGAAATAGAGATGGTCCATTCTGGAATCTTCTGTGTGTCCCCTGTAAACTTTTTGATTCTGGGACGTAAGTGTCTTGCTTCAGGAGCCTTGTTTACTAAGGTGTAGTGTTCACTTATGAAGCTGTTGAAAGTTCAGAACTGATCAGTCGATTTTCAGTGGAAAGTGCTCTTCTTTACTGTTATCCAGAATTCTGGCTGCAGCTGTGGTTTACTGTAGCCTTCCCCTCCTCCTCCCTCACCTGAGCCTCTGTCTGCCTTCTTTCCGTCACTGGGGTTCTTAATCCTCATCTGGAACCAGCCGTCTCAAATTTATTTGCGAATCTGTGCTTGTATGAACTCATATCCTCACATTTAAGGTGCTGAAAGGGTCTTTATCTCTCATGTGATTCTGAAAAAAAAAAAAAGTCTGTGACCCCAAGAGTAGTCTCCATTTGTCCTCTGGTCAGCTCTCCGGTTCAAGTCTGAATGCTTGTGAACCAATCAACCGTGGTTGCCTCCAGTTTCAAAGGCTGACAGGACAAACTAAACACCAACTTCTAGATAAAATTTCTTTACGTCCGAATAATTTCAAAGGAGTACTTAATATCAAATAGAAATAATCTCGTACCGTTTTATCATGGTATGCTTTATAAGGCCTTTCTGAAATTGCTACTTAAGCGATCACATTTCCCACGACACAGCGTTGGTGCAGGAATGAGTGTATTGTGTTGGATCTGTGGTTCATTCTCATTAGTATCCCGTGTCTTCAGCAAGAAATAATAAGGGGTTAGGTGTAGAAGGGTTTGTTTTCGTTGACTCTTACCAAACATTAGGATCGTACAGAAAAATTTCTCAAGAAGTTCACACGCCAGCTTTTGGTCCCTGATCACGTGCGTGTTCAGTGTCACGGGGATCGCCAGCTCACCAGGCCCACTCATCCATTCTTAGTGCTGTTGTCTGCCTTTCAGTAGCATTTAACCCTGGCTGGCCTTTCCCGATCGTTTCTCCTTGAATTACTTCTTTACTTGGCTTTTACGCTCTTGTACTCTCCTGCCGTCTCCTGCTGTTCCTTCCATTCTTATCAGTCTTCTCTAGCTCATTTTTGACTCGTTCTCTTCCCAACCTGTAAATTCTGCCCTCAGGCTCAGTCCTTGGATCGCTGATCTCTCTTTGCATTTTCTCCCTGAGTCACCTTGTCCAGTTCCCCACAGCTTTAAATGCCATCCATATCCTGAGACGTCCACATTTATGTCTTTAGCCTGACGTCTCCTCTGAGCTCTAGCCTCCCATAGCCAAACATTGCATGTTTGACGAAAATAACGTGGCCGTATGCTGGGCATCTCAAACTTCACATATGCAAAACACATAAGGAAAAACTACTTTGATTATCACTCGACCTGACAACCCACTCCAGTCTTCCCCTTGTCTGTAAATATAGTTACCATCTACTCACTTGCTCAAGCAAGGAATCTGGGAGCTCTTTGATTCCATTCTTTTCCCTCAGCCTTTGTATTCATTTAGCGAGTCCTGTTGACTCTGCCTTTGAAATGCATTCCAGATCCAACCATTTCTCCCCCCCCTTATGGCCATCTCACCTAGATCACTGTAATCTTTTTCTGCTGATCCTGGCTTTTACTCTTGCCCCAGCTGGATTTCCCCTTAGCTACAGTACTCTTTCCAAATGTCATTTATATTGTCATTTTCAAGATCCTTTCACGGCTTCCCCTCATATTTACAAGGAGACCTAAACTTATTAACGGCATACAGACTGCAGCATCTGCCTTTCCCTCTCTCACGGACCTCACCCACCGCTCGTTACCCAGCTCGTTTTCCTCCAGCCAAGACCTGGCTCCGCCTGGCGTGGACCAAGCGCCTTCCTGCCCTTTTGGCCTGTGCACTTGGCTATTGCCTTGGCCTGAAACACCCCCCGAGCTTCGCACGGCTGCTCTCTCACTTTATGTAGCGCTCTACTCATGTTATCACTTTTTCTCTCATAACGCTCACTGTCTCCAGTCATTCTGCTAAATGCCTGCTTGCTTGCTTGTTTTTTGTTATTACTATTCTCCAGGAAGCTAAGTTCTGTAAGGGCAGGGACTTGCTCTGTCTCATTCACCACTGTAGGTTGCCCCAGTGCCTAGAGCAATACCTGACAAGTAAAAGATGCTTACGAAGATTTATTAAACGAACGAAGCTACCATTTTACTGATATAACTGTCTGATTTGTTGGCAAATTAAATATCTTTTTCTCATATCATATTTCCCATGACCTCTCTGTAGTACTTGACACCGTGTGTCTTCCCATCCCCTTTCTCTTCTAATTTCTACATTTCTGTACAACCAGCTTATCAGATCAGTGTCTCGTAAACCGTATACTGCAAATCGTCAAACCCTGTTAATTCTTTCCTTGTATATTGTCTCGAATCCGTACCTTCTCCGTCTCCTTCTCTACTTAGTTCATGCCTGGACAGTCTCTTACTACTTGTTTGCAGTAACCTCCCTGCTTCTCATTTTGTCTTCCATGCATCCTCTGTATTATCAGTAGACTGATCTCTTTCAGTTGTATATATTATTTATCTTTGTATCTCTGGCAGCACTTAGCACCTTTTTTCCCACCAGCAGCAGACACTCAGTGAGTGTTGAATGAATAGTCCTGCGTTTCTAGAAAGTAGAACTAATGGGCCATGTGATCATTTTAATGGCTTTGGTTCTCTGAAAAGAATTTGTGTGTAAATAATCCCCCTTTCTTCCTGTTTTAGAAAAGCTGGAACAATTTAGAGAGAAAGAAAATAGCGATTCCTTGTTTTATATTGAGTTTTATGGACCGTTTGACTGTAATCACAGTGTACTGTTGGAGCACTTCACAGTAGAGTTTTGTTGTTGCTTTAATAGAAATAGTATTTGTGCTTCTCTGTTAAAATGATTCTTTTCTCTTATGCCGAAGTCTCCAGTGAATATTGACTTGCTGAGGAATTTGGGAAAAGACCAGCCGAAGTTCTCATTCCATGGATCCCTTGGGTGCCCCTTCCCAGTTTGTGGATGTGGATACGCTGCCAAGCTGGGGTGACTCGTGTGAAGATGAAGTAACCGCTTCCGATACTGCAGCTGAGACGTTTCAGAAAGACGCGATTAGATCACCGTTTCTTTATAATAAGGACATCAATGGAAAAGTGGTTCTTTGGTAATTCTTTGAATCACATTACGATATGATATTGCTTTCTTAGAATTTCTTCTAAATTCTTTTATCTCAGAATTTCTTCTAAACATTTTTTGTTGCGTATGCACCTGCACTTCTGTCGAGCTGTAATTGACATACAACAAACTGCACGTATTTAAAGTGTCCAGTTTGGTAAATTTTGACATATGTATACACCACCCATGAACCCGTCACCACAATCATGATAGTGAATATATTTGTCACCCTCAGAAGTTTGTGTCCCTTTGTAATCGCTGCCTCCTGCCCTTCCCTGCCTCCACAGTCTCAGTCTGCCTCTTAGATTGGTTTGCATTTTCTAGAGTTTTATAGAAATGGGATCCTGGACTCTTTTTTCAGTCTAGCCTCTTTCATTCATCATCATCATTGGAAAGTTCATCTCTGTCGTTGCATGTATTATTAGTAGTACTTTTTTTTTTTTTTTTATAAAAAGCCTTATTGAGATAGATATAATTCACCAATTTAAATTGTATGAGTCTATGTTTAAATCACAAAGACATATAACATCACAGCGGTCACTTTTAGAACATTTCGTCAACCCGGAGTTGTGTGCCCATTCGCAGTCACTGCCCCTCCCCATTCCCCTCCCCCACACACTGACTCTCAGCTCTGGTCATCCACTAATCTACTTTCCTTCTATTTGGATCGGCCTATTCTGGACATTTCTTATAAATAGAATCAATTGTAACTTAGCGTATCGGTTTTAAAATTCAACCACGTTGTAGTATGCATCACTACTTCATCCCTTTTTATGGCCAAATGTTTCATTGTGTAGCACACTTAGTTTTCCTGTTCATTAATTGATGGGCATTCGGGTCGTTTCTACTTATTGGCTATCGTGAATAATACTGCCGTGTCTAAACTCATTAAACCAGCCACTTCCAACTCTAGAAGCATTCCGTTAAAATGAAAGAGAAATATGAAAGAAGCAAAAGAATAACATGGTTTTGTGAATTCCAGAGTCGTGGCAATTGCATTGAAAAATCTGTCTGAGACGCCAGACTACTCGTCCTGCATCGGGAACTATTTTCTGTCGCTTAAGCTTGTGAGCTAGTGAAGGGAGCGAAGGGAGCGAGGGGAGCACGTTCGAAAGCCTTAGAAACTGGCTTTCTCACTCCCCCGTCCCCACACACACTCTTTATTCATCGACTGTTTCCTCAGGAAGGGGGACGTGGCGTTGCTGAACTGCACGGCCATCGTCAACACCAGTAACGAAAGTCTGACGGATAAGAATCCTGTGTCGGAAAGCGTCTTCATGCTCGCGGGGCCCGATTTGAAGGAGGACCTGCAGAAGCTTAAAGGTGAGAGACTTTCCTTAGGTGTGTCACTGCTTGGGAAACATTTGTTTTGATATTTGAAGAAGCACGTGTTGCATTTCTGTGAGAAAATTATATAGGTGTAACTATTTTGTCGTTCTCGTTAAAACTAAATAAAAACAGCTTTTGAAAACTCCACAAGCTTTGCTCTCAGTAAAACTCTTCTGTCATGTTCTTGAATTTTAAAATGACGGTCTTTGTAGCTAGTTGGATCTTAGGTAGTGTTTTCCTGGCTGTGTATTTTCTTACACGGATAAGCCTTGTGATTTGATACTGATAGAAGTTTTTATACATCCTTTGGATCTAGAGTTCTGCACTTTTGAAATGAAACTGACTTATCAGTAAACCCAACCTGTATCACAAGAGCCAACATATTCTCGATTAATTTTGTACTTGCTGCTGGTTTTTTTTGTTTGTTTTTTTTTTTTAGCAGAACATTCTTCTGGAAATGGGAACAGGAAGAGCCATGTTCATTCAGAATCATGTTTACCTTAATTTGCATTTATTTTCTTAAATTACCAACTCGGCAACCTTTCGTTATTGTTATTTGAATGCAAAGGAATATCGTGAGATTTAATCGTATCATTTTTTAAAAAGTATTCGTGAAATACAGCAGTGATACTCAAAATGTAAACAGCAAATTCCTCCTGTGTAAAATCTGGATTTCTTTGACCTTTACCATTTAACACTGACAACTGGTTTCTAACCTAATAAAGATATTCAAATTCGAATAAGAATACTTATAATGCCAGCTCCGTGAAAAAGATAGAGAATTGCATTATATGATCAAGAAACTGAACTTTGTCTTTGAGGGCAGAAGAAGGAAAAAACCTTCAATTAAACTAAGGACATGATACCATGAAGAACATGTAGAAATTAGAAGATGTATTAGAGGTAATACTGAGAAGGTTTTTGATAAAAGTAACAGAGAAGCTGGTCTGTAAAAATGCATAATGGTGTGTGTGTCTGTATTCTCACTTATACCTTAGAGCTGGACTTAAGGCTGAAAAAAGGAAATAATAAAATTTAATACAGGTATACAAACAAAACAGGTATCTGACAGCAGGTGTTTGCGAGCTCCCAAGTTGGAGTTCGTGTTCTGTTCCCGCCCTTTACTGTGTAGCTAAGGTCAAGGGCTTTACCACTGAGCCTGAGTTTCCTTCTCTAAAATGGGGATCGAGATCGCGGTCTCAGCCTCATTTCCTGACACACAGCAGGCACTCAGCAAGTATTTAGGGATGGAAAAAAAAAATCAGTGTCAGGATTAAAATAATGGGCATTAAGTGATGGGCACGTCCTCCTCTCAGTAAAGTCAGGCGCGTCTGTCCTGACGGGGCCCTCCGGGAGCCTCCGCCCCTCCCCCGCCCCCTTCCGTCCCCGCCGGGTGCTCTCCGTGCCTGGGAAGTCAGTTTTTAGATTTACTAGATTGGGTGCTCCCCCGCCCCCAGTTTCCTAGATCTCCTAGCTTTCTCTCCTTTGATGTACTTCTTCATTTCTGTGAGTAAATCTACGGGAAGATTCCTGAGAAGGGTGGGCGGGGACGGAATGGCAGATCTTCCTTCTACCTTCACACTTAACTGGTCGTTCCGTTGGAAATAGAATTCTAGGCTAGAAATCATTTTCCAGATTTCTTAAGGGCATTGCTCTATTATTTTCTTTTTTAATTACTGCAAAATCGGATGCTGTTCTTATTCCTGAACCTTTTATATTTCTGGTTCCTTCTCCAGAAACTTCATGATCTCTTCTTTATTTCTGATGTTCCCTTAATTCACAATGATGTGCCTTATTGTGGCTTGGGTACTTTGTGGGCTCCTTTGAGTCTGGAAATCTATATCTTTCAGTTCTGGAAGATGTCTTATTTTATGTTTCTAGTAATTTCCTTCCCTCTGTAGTCTCTGTTTTCTCTTTGGAGAAATCCTATTGGATGTTGTACTTCCTTATATAAGCCTCCAATTTTTATATCTATTATCTCTTTTTCATCTTTTTATTTGCTGGAAGATTTCCTTACTTTCAGCTTTAATCCATCTATTGAACTTTTTATTTCTGCTGTCAGATTTTTCACATGGCTGTAAAGATTGTATAAGTGTTTTTTCTGTTCTCTGAATATTCTTTTTATAACATCTGGTTTTCTTTCTCTGAGAGTAGTAATTATGGTGCTGGGAGTTTTTTGGTTCGCTTTAAAGTTTCCTTCTCTGCATTGTCTATTTTTTGAGGATTTGTTGTGTCCCCTCTTGCTAGAAGCTTTCCTCACTTGCTGGTGATCTTCACGTGTCACTGTATTTAAGAGGGAGGAATCCAGAAGTGATGGAGGCGTTGCGTGCATGGACAAGGGTTATTGCTGGGACACTCTTGAAGCAGATAATGAGCGACACTCCTGTCGTTTGGTTGGGGAGCCTCCCTCAACCAAACCTGTAGGTCCTTGGGTCTGGGCCTCTTAGTTTTCTGTAAAGGAATCTTCTAGGGGTATAAGCGTGAGTTCTCTGTTTTGTAAGCCAATTAGGAGTAGAGACCTATAGCTATCATTCTTGAGTATTACACTTTAAATCGCCTCTTTTCGGTTGTGCCTGGGGTCCTGGAGTTCACAAACTGTCTAGCTCGGCATCTGCAGAGAGTAAACCTTCCTGCTGCTGGTGGTGAGGACGCCATGACCTTGCGGTGCTGGCTGGGGGAGGCATTGTTGGAGCTTTGACTGTCGCAGATTGAACTCAGCTTCCTCTTTTTAGTCCCACTTCCCATCATAGCCTTTAAAAGTGCTGAGAACCCCCGGTTTTTGAGCCTTTCCAGTGATCAGCAATTACAACAATTACAGCTAATGCACGTGCGCACCTTGCATACGGGGACTCTTGTAATCCTGTGAAGTGGCCCCACTGAATAAAAAATCGAAGCATGGAGAGGCCAAGCACCTGCCCAGCGTGGCCCAGCAGGGACATGGTGGACTCTGGATTTGAATTGAAGCAGTCCGTCTCGAGCCCAGCACTGCCTTTCAGTACAGACCACCTTGCTTTGTGTTAGCCACCCCATTGTGCAAGACATTAGTTTCTCTGCGTTGCTAGATCAATTACGTCTAGCTCATTGACCTTCACCTGCCAAAGTTTTGACGCAGCTTATCCGCTTCTGTGACGTCTGTGTGCCCCGTTGTTCCCAGGTTGCCGGACAGGTGAAGCCAAACTGACCAAAGGATTTCATCTGGCCGCCCGGTTCATCATCCACACGGTGGGGCCCAAGTACAAAAGCCGCTACCGCACGGCCGCCGAGAGCTCCCTGTATAGCTGCTACAGAAACGTGCTGCAGTTGGCTAAGTACGCCGCGTCATTTCCTGCACGCAGCATGCCACACGGCATTAAAGACCCTGGTTTTACAGTGGCACCTAGCTATAGAAGCCAAATTGTGAGGGATTTAGATAATTTCGGAGGACCCTGAGTGAAAGAAATGGCTTTGGGTAACTTGAGAATTTAACCTGTTCTGATTTTAATCTTTAGTTGGAATCTTTTCTTCCTATTGGTGCAGTTAAATTAATAGTCTCACGCTCTACTGAGTGAGCTAGCCGGGCCTGTGCAATTAAATATTGATAAAATTAGTAGTGCAGTTGGGTTAAATATTACAGTAGATTTGTCGATGGGGCAGAGAAGCAGCAGCTAAGCTGCATTTTTGAATTAGTTATGTATTATGTATGTTTTATGAGTGTGTGTAATTTTTATATTTTCTTTTTGGTTGCAGAGAGCAGTCTATGTCTTCTGTTGGGTTCTGTGTCATTAATTCTGCAAAACGCGGGTATCCTCTAGAGGATGCTACACACATAGCACTGCGTAAGTGATGCTCGAGATGCTGTGCGTAACGACGTAACACTTCATATGTGGGGTTGGGGATGCTCTGCATACACTGAGTTTTAAAAAAATTTTCTATCACTAATTAAATGGCTGGAGCCAGAGGGGGCTTGTGACCCAATCTTGGCGCCCTGGAGGGAGGCTTGCACTGACGCCTCGAGAGCTCTCAGTTTGTCTTGTGTTGACTTTTTCATCCGTTTGGGTAAAGGTTTAGAAGTCTTGCCATTAAATGTGGAAATGATACCAAGCTAAGAAGTATGGCCAATACGTTGGGTATTTGAATCATAATTCAAAATAATCTCAACAGCCTGCAACAGTGAAATCAAAATAGAGTTTAGAATATCAGATTCATATAGCACTTTGCAGTTTAAAACACAGCAGCTTTCACACGTGCTATTTGAATATAAAACCCTGCACTTAGGATTTAAAAAGGTGGGGCTCAGTCACTATGAGCCGAAATGTCACATATGTGACATAAAAACATGTTCAGCTCAACAGAGTCCATGGTCTCGTTGTGTTATGTGCGGGTGGAGACCGCAGCCAGTTTCATGTGCGGTTCTGGGTTCCACGCCTCATGCGACACTGGCGAACTCAGGGCCGGCAGTTTGAAACGTGAGTGGTCTTGCTCCTAAGGGAGAGCGTAGCACATGCAGTGTCTGCCATCAGGGGTCTGAGGGACTCGTTGTGGGCTTGTTCTGTACCGCATTTTAGAGCAACGGCACTTCACTTCTGGACATCATTACAACCTGCGTCGAGCACCTGGCGAAAAGCCGCAGACCCTTCCCCTGAGGAGCGCGCATCCATGTGGAGTTTACACGCTGTCTCGGGCTCCACAGACCCTGGGAAGGAGTGTAGACGAGCTCTCGAACTAGAGAAGATGGTCTAAGACCCATGACAGGATGGAGACTGGTCCCTTTGAGATAGGACAGTCTATTAGAAAAGTTCTTTAAGGGACCTCCTTGTCATTGGGAACACTCGTGCATGGGCCCAGTGACATCTGTGGCAGACAGTCCTCATTTGGGAGGGAAACGACCATACTGGACTGTCTTGAAGACCCCTTTCTCTCCATCTCTAGAATTTAAAGATGAGATGCTAAAAGTTTTCTATCCACCAAAAAATTACAAAGATATTTGCAGGTATAAAATTATTATCACATAGCCGAGAATTTAGGGTGAGGGCATGTTCAGGCCTAAATGGCCTTATTTAATAATCAGTTATTTCTAAAACTTAGGTCCTTGTCGATCAATGATTTTAGAGTAAATGCATATATTTTATAGTTAGAGTTTACATATACATTAGAGTGAAATTCTTAAGCAGAGATCTTTTCCTCTTTGTATTTATAGTTCTTGCGTATGTCAAGAATGGTTTACATATGGTTCTTGCTCAAGAAATACATACTTTAACAAGGAATAAAGGAATTTTCTCTTATTGCCTCAATGGCCCTGTACTTTAGGTAGTATGGTATCCATTTTACAGATAAAATGGGCTCAGAACTTTATCGTGTTCTCAGGGTTATGCAGGCTTGGAACATAAGTCCAGGCCTTCTGACTCCCAAGTCCAATAACCTGTTCATTATGCTCAAGCTAGAACTGCTTCAGGGGAGAATGACCGCGTGATAGCTGGCCTGCATGTCTGCTAAACGGTGCCTTACCCAAGCAAAGTCCCTGCCTGCACATAACGCTCCCTGGCAAGGCTTTTGGCAGGTCTCGATAGCCTCTGATTCCACTCAGCCCTTGCTCTGTCGTCTTATAGCTTGAGCTAAGCTTTCTTTTATGTTTCCATTTCTTATCAAAGTAATCATATGGATTAGATAAAAGGGCAGCAGCATTTTATATAAAAAGCTCTGAAAGGGGAGTAAAGTAGACTGATTTTTGGTCCCAATTCTACTAGTCTAACCCTAGCTCTGTGGCCCCAGGTAAATGACTTGATAAAATACCATAGAGGTGTCAGCTTTGAGCAGAATACGTATATCAGGAAAATAAAAAAGTGTGGAGGAATGAACCCTGGAGGACAGCAGTTTTAAAAGGTGGGCTCTGGGTGTTTAGAACTAAGCTAGAGATGTCCGCTCAGTTAAGGGCTGGGCAAAGGCCACTAGCTCTCAGTAGGAAGATGATAGAGAACAATCTGGGTAACACAGAAATTAAGAAAAAAGTAATTCATTTTTGATTAGATGGAGTTTTGACAGTGATGAAGGGCTGAGCGGGACGTCTAATACTGTAACTGAGTGAACGGAAAGACACTTGTGCTAGGTCATCCTGGTCAGGGAGGGAGGCCGCAGGGAATAAAAAGACTATGCTAGATAAGGGGAATTGTCTGGAGTCAGCATCTTCTGTGCCGGGTGCTGTCCTAGACACTGGCAACGAAACCGTAAATAAAAGAAAGCTCTTGCTGTTGAGTTTTCATCTTAGCCGATGGGGTCGGGGGGCAGAGAGGATTTACAGTAAATAAAAAACTCCATGAAACGTCTGTAATGATTGCTTGGGAGGAAAGCAGATCAGGGAGCTTTTGAACAGAGTAGGCTGGGCAGGCTTTGCCAACGAGGCATCACTGAGCAGGGACCTTCATGAAGGGAGCGATCCATCGCAAAAATAAAACTTGGAGGAATTTGACTTTTCTCCATGTATAATTTGTTTTTTATTGAATGTTTATGTTCTTTTTTATTGAATGTTTATGTTCTTTTTTATTGAATGTATATGTTCTTTTCCGTAGGCACCGTAAGGAGATTCCTAGAGATTCATGGAGAGACCATTGAAAAAGTAGTATTTGCTGTCTCTGAACTTGAAGAGGTATTTGGCTAATTATGTTGCGTTGTTTTAATCTTGCAGACCAGTATCGCCTATGAATAGAGATGCAAAAATCTCTAACAAAATATTAGCAAACTGAATTCAGCAACATATAAATGGATTATGTACCATCACTAAGTGGGGTTTATCTCAGGAATGTCAGGGTGGTTCAACTACAAAAATCAATCAGTGTAATATACCATATTAATAGAATAAAGGATGAAAAAATAATAAAGGCTAAAACCACATGATCATCTCAGAAGATGCAGAAAAGCATTGGACAAAATCCAACACCCTTTCATGATAAATAACACTTAACAGACTGGGAATAGAAGGGAACATCCTCAACGTGATGAAGGGCAGGTATGAAAAACCCACAGCTCACGTTACGGTTATTGGTGAGGACGTGCCGAAAGCAGTCTGCCGAAAAGCGGGAACAGGATGACAGGGCTGCTCTTACCAATTCTAGTCGCCATTGTACTGTCCTGGTTCTAGCCAGGACATTTAAGCAACAAAAAGAAATAAAGAGCTCCAGATTGGAAAGAAGGAAAACTCTCTCTATTCATAGGTGACATAATTTGGTATATAAAAATCCTACGAAGTCCACCAAAATGCTATTAGAAATAATGAGAGTTCAACAGGGTTACAGGACACAAGATCAGTATAAAAAAGTAAATTGTGTTTCCACGTCCTAGCAATCAATAATCTGAAAACGAAATTAAGAAAACAGTTTTATTTACAATAGCATCAAAAAGAATCAAATATTTAAGACTAAGCTTAACAAAAGAAATGTAAGACCTATACTTTGAAAACTACAAAATATCTTTGCAAGAAATTTTCAAAGACCAAAATAAATGGAAGAATACCCGCGTTCATGAATCAGAAGACTTACCGTTGTTCAAATGTCGGCGTTCCCCAAATCTTCCTACAGAGTCAGGCTTTTTTTTGTAGAAATTAACAAGTTGATCCTGAACTTTACGTGGACATGCAAGGGACCCAGAATAGTCAAAATAACCTTGGAAAAAAAAGAACGAAGTGGGAGGATTCATACTTAACCTGTTTTGAAACTTAAAATACAGCAATCAAGGCCATGTGGGGCTGATGTAAGAATAAACACATTGATCAGTGGAACAGAATTTTTGATAAGGCTGCCAAGACAATTCAGTGCAGAAAAAATAGTCTTATCAATAAATGGCATCCACATGCAAAGGAAAGAAGTTTGACCACTACCTCACATCAGCTGCAAAAATTAGCTCAAAATGGACATAGGACTTAAGTAGAAGAATTAAAACTATAAAGCTGTTAGAAGAAAACAGGTATAAATCTTCACGACCATGGATCAAGCCTGTGAATCAGAAGTACAAGCAGCCAAAATAAAAACAGATCAGTTGCTCACTCTTAAAATTCAACAATAAAAAGACAAATGACCCAGTTTAAAAATGGGCAGAAGTTGCTATTTACTCAAAGGGAGTTGAAAATTTATGTCCCCAAAAGCTTAAGAAGGATGTTTATAGCAGCTTTGTTCATAATTGCCAAAACTTGGAAGCAACCAAGATGTCCTTCGGTGGGGGAATAGATAAATAAACCATGGTCCGTCCAAATAGTGGAATATTTTTCAGTGCTAAAAATAAATGAGCTGTTAAGCCATAGAAAGATATAGAGAAAACCAAAATGCATGTTACTAACTGAAAGAAGCCAATCTGGAAAGGCTACACACTATGTGATCCCAACTATGACATTCTGGAAAAGATAAAACTATGAAGATGGTAAAATGATCGGGGGTTAGAGGTGGGGAAGGTTGCATAGACACGACAGCACGGAATATTTAGGGCAGTGAAAATATTCTATGATACTGTAAGGATGGACACGTCATTATACATTTGTGCCAACCTGTGGAACGTACAGCACCAAGAGTGAGCTCTGACGTGAACTGCAGGTGATTAGATGTGTCACGTGGGCCCATCACTTATAACGAATGTACCCCAAGGGGGTATGGGAAATCTCTGTGCCTTCTCAATTTTGTTGTGAACCTTAAACTGCTCTAAAAAAACAGTCTTTTTTTAAAAAATGGGCAGAAGTTTTACATAGACATTACTTCAGAAAAGATACACAAACGACTGATAAGCACATAAGGAAGTACCTCATAACATTAAACATTAGGGAACTACAAATCAGAATCACGTCCACTTCACATCCACTAGTGTGGCTGTAATTACAAAGACAGACAATAACAAGCGTTGGTGAGAATGTGGAGAAACTGGAACCTTCCTACATAGCTCGTGAGAATGTAAAATTGTGCCGCTGCTTTGGAAAACTGGCAGTTGCTCAGAAAGTTCAAGAGATGCCAGCCACTCTTAAATACGTACAGGAGAGAATCAAAAACATATGTCCCCACAAACACTTGTACACAAAATATTCATATCAGCGTTATTCATAATAGACAAAAAGTGGAAACAACCTGATCCACAGATGAATTGATAAACAGATGTACGTATGTATATGTATATGTATATACACTCGAATATTATCCTACTATAAGAACGAGTGAAGTACTATACATGCTGTGACATGAGTGACCCTTAAAACGTTACGCTAAGTGAAGCCGGTCACAAAAGGCCACTTACTGTGTTCCATTTTTATGAAATGTCCAAAATAGACAATCCAAACAGAGTAGATTAGTGGCTGCCAGTGTTTGGGGGACAGAGAAATGGAGAATGACCTAGCTAATAAGTTTAAATATTCTTTTGGGGATTATGAAAATGTTCCGGAATTTAATGGTGATGATTCCACAACTTTTGTGATTATACCGAAAACCACTGAATTGTATACTTTAAAACTGAATTTTATGGTATGTGAATTACATGTCAAGTTTTTCCGTGAAGGCTACAAAGATGGCATCTTACATGCTTTATACATGAAAGATGACGCAGTGTCGCTAGTGACGATAAGAAAACTGATGGGTAATGATTTCCCGATGATTTCATTGTTCTTCTAAGCACTTTCATCGCTTTGGTTTCTTATTTTTCTGTTTTAGTCTTTTTCAGTGTAGTTTGGAGTAATCGATGGCTAATGATAAATAATTCCTAGGACAATGAAAAAGCAAAATGCTTCAAGATATAGGGAAAACAAGAGCACTAAATGCTCGTAATGTTTCACGGATTTATAAATGAGTCTCATGGACCAGCCCAGATGGAAATTATAAAATAGAATGAGTTTTATTCTAATTTGTTTTTTATAAGGTAAAATTAATCTGTGTTCTTTGGGAAACCTCTACAGAAGAATAAAAGTCATGAAATAGCAATTTATCACAAACAGAACTGTTAAAAAAAAAATCCCTCAAAAACTAAACCGGGTCAGCGTACCCTGATGGCGCACTGAGGATTGAGGAGGTGGCATCTGAGCTGAATCTCAAAAGACAAATATCAGTAAGGCGAAGGAAGGGGGTGGGGACAAGAGTGGCAGGACTTAATGCATTCCAGGTGCAGTGACCTGGAATTGCCAGGATGGTGACCATGTTTAACTAGCTAATAACAAACGTCCTGATCTTTAACAACTGTGGAGGGTCCCCGACAGCATCTAGTCTGAGCTCAGAAGGAGTAGGGTCCTTCTTGATGGGGGCTGTCCTCACGCGAAGGGAACAGCAGCGAGCGCCGTGGGTGCCTGCTCCATTTCTTTGTGGATTTTCACAGAATGCCTTGCTTTTCCAACACAGGCTACTTACCAAAAGCTGCTCCCTCTGTACTTCCCGAGGTCACTAAGGGAGGAGAGTCGGTCCCTGCCCTACCTGCCAGCCGACATCGGGAACGCGGACGGGGAGCCTGTGGTGCCCGAACGGCAGATCCGAATAAGTGAGAAGCCTGGCGCCCCGGAGGGTGAGTCCTGTCTCTCCACCTTACTTCTTGGAGCAAAGGGACAGGCCAGCAGAGACCTGGGAGGGTCAGCTCGACCTTTGGGAAACTCTCTGTCAGTGCAACTCTGTGGTCAGGACCAACTTAGGTGTTTTTAGTCTTAATCTTGTTAAGATTTACTCAATTTAAAACACACAGACACACACACACACACAATGTCAAGTCTGAGTTAGGCGCACACACACACACACACACTCAAGTCTGAGTTAGGCAGCAGAGATTCGGAGGTGGATGTAATTCTCATCCTCATGAAGCTGATAGTTTTTTCCAGGACACTGTTGAGACAGCAGCCAAGTCCATTATCTGAAATTTTCAACACCTTCAACAATGTCCTATAAAAGCCACACCTAGCAGGAAATACTAAGACAAGAATACCGTCACCGTTCGTTGTGTCTCTTTAGGGTACGTACTCATGTGGGTAGAAGCTGTGGTAGAGCTCAGTGGGAGTGGGGTGGCCCTCTGAATCTGTTCACTGTGACGCACATCCTCACCTCTGCGGTGTGTTCGTGGTTATGTCCCTTCTCTGGAGCTGTGCAAAGCAGGCGTCATTGCTGGAATTTGATCGCAAAAGTCGGCAGCTTAGGGACGACTGTGAACAATTTTAAATGCATATCGGGATAAATCTTTAGGAGGCCACTCATCTCTCTCTAATCACCAGCACACGGGCTTACATCGGGCAGAGGGCATTCTACGTAGCGGCAGGAAGTGTCCCTGAACCCAGCCTCGCTGCGGGGGCACCGTGCACTTCAGGGTGCCCCCGTGGCGCGCACCCTGGAATCGTGCCAGAGTCATCTGGAAATTCTCAAAACTGACCACCACTGTACAGGATGATTTTTCCTAAATGCATAAAATGCATTCCATATAATCAGGAGTAATGGGTAGCAAAACCAATCCGAGACAGCAATATTGGGCAATACTGAGACCAGCTCAGTAGCCAAAGGTTCCCTTCTATTATTATTCTCAAAGGGTGCCTGATATGTCTGTATCTCAGAAAATATTGTTACCTTGTAGATAAAGCACTAGTGTTCATAAATAATTTCAACTGGAACGTTAAAACATTTAAAAATAGATGTAAAGTCGGCTTTACTTGAGGGATTGAAAGAAGATTTATTCATGGGTGTTTTTAATAAAAGCAGATTCTTCTAAGCCGCTGGCCTGTCACAGTTTGAGGAGCAATGAAGTAGATGTGAGCAAGTCCCCGCTGTGCTTCAGGTGGTGGCATTGCCTTGGGAAGCTCCCCATGGTCCAAGGGGCTCGTTTGTTTTTATTTTTTAATTTTTTTTTTAACATCTAGTAAGGCAGTGGGAATAACACTAGGGACTGTCTTCTGCTAGCCGAACATAAAATGATCATATGGATAAATTGGAAAGTTAACTTACTAATTCGTAGCAAGAACCGAAGTTCTTATGGACCAGAATGATTGTGTAGGCGTGATCGATGTAAGAAACCAAGATGCTAATACAGAATCGAACATTCCTTAGAGGATGCGGCTCACACCCTGCAGTCTGGTCTATCTGTCCTCCCTCGGGTTCCCTGACAAAGGGGCTGAAGTTCATGTGCCAGCCACTCAAGGGTTCCCTCCTGAAACAGTCTCTTCTGTTAGATGCTGTGTTACAATCCACATTTAAAACCACGTACAGTATAAATACTCCTTTCTTTTTCTTATGCTTACATTCCACTGTTTCCTTCTTAAGGTTGTACCCGAGTCACCCTGATTTGATTTCACGTATTCCTGAAACTTCTGTCACGCATGGACAGGTGGTTTCCTTCATTATTTCAGTTCTTCAAATACCTAAGTCTGATTTAAGTTTCATTCTCGAAAAATAACCTTTTAACCCCATTTCTTCTTTGCGGGAGCTCACAGTCATCCCTTTTGCAGTGTTCAGTCTGTTCGTCGCATTTACTGTCAGGTTTTGTCGTAAGCTCTGTATTGATCGGTTTTTTGTTACAGACGACCAGGAAGAGGAGGACGAAGGCTTGGGAGTTGATCTCTCTTTCATTGGCTCCCACGCTTTTGCTCGGATGGAAGGAGATATTGACAAGCAAAGGAGACTGATCCTACAGGGACAGTTGTCGGAGGCAGCCCTGCAGAAGCAGCATCAGAGAAAGTAAGGCAAACCCCCGGGGGCTGATAGGCACGGCCGGGAGGAGCTGGCCTGACATCTGCTGAACGATCTGCATAGGATGCATTCTAACTACTCCTTGTGACAGTCCAGTGCGAAGGGTATCGTCTCATTTTATAGATACAGAAATTCAGAGTTAAGTTATCAAGGGTAGAAGCTAGTAGTTGTTGAGGCCACTGCTCAGATGCAGATCTGATTTCAGCGCTCCTGCCCTTTGTACTGTAGTCGTGGTGCCTCTAGGTGAGGTCTTGTGAAGTGGACACTAGAGAAGGGAGAGGCAGACCTAACCGCAGGAGAGTTTTTACCTAACCTTACCATGTTTATAATTAAAACATAATCTTCAGTTTTATTCAATTTAAGAGGGCTTATTTCTTCCCGATTTAGCCCAAAGACCTCATAAAGCCCTTCCATTTCTCTCAGGTGTTTTCTAAAGCAATTCTGAATAAATCCATTTTAAAACATAAAGAAAAGCAGCTTTTGTACTTCTGGGTAAGCTTTTCCAAGGATTATCAGTCCTTGGAAACTTAGGTGCTTTTCAAAAAATTTTAAAGGAAAGAAAAAAATCATAAACTGTAAATGATTAATATCATCTATTACCTGACAGGGTTGGTTAAGGGGATAACATCTCATAGGGTTGATGTGAACTTTAAATAAGATGATGTCGTGAGCTGAGCACAGCACCTGGTACTTAGTAAGCTCTTAAAATTGGTCACTCGGTCTCCTCTTCAGTACTGAGCAAATTGTAGTCTGCTTTACCTTTGAGCTTCAGTACTTGCCATCCTGCAATTCCTGCCCATTCTCCAGGTTTCGGCTGAGAAGCGATGGCCTCTGGAAACTCGCCTCGCTGGAGATAAGTCGGAATAGATGGAGAAGTCTAGAATAGATGTCTCCTCCTCTGTGCTTTTCTCCCCACTCTGCGCTTAACCAAAGCCTAGCGTGGCATTTATCACGCTACGTTGTAATGACGTGTGGTGCTGCTTAGTCTCCATCTGTAAGCAGAGGTTGGATTAGATGACCCTTGGAGTCCCGTGCAGATAGAGTTTTGTGTCTGCTGAGCGGGGTCTTCACTTAATTTTGATTTTATTTTTAAAAAGAAAAGAAAAGCGGTCACTAGGGGGCGCCAAGTAAGCAGCTTTTCCAAAAGCAGTCACAATCGTGCTACTCTCAGTGGTTTCCGAACTGGGCCAAGTGTGAGGATCCTCAGGCAGACGATTTTCTTTACCTCCACTGACTGGCCTGTCCATCACGTGACTAGGATTTTGGCATCTATATAGGTTTTAAAACTTTTTCACATCTTAATTCGTGCGCTACTAGATTTGGGTACTTCATCTGGTCTGGGGCAGACTCTCAGGTCCCCTTTGCATTCTTAAAATTGTGGAGGACCCCAAAGAGCTTTTGTTTAAACAAATTATACCTGCCAACATCTATGTCTGTGTGAGAAATTTCTTATTAAATCATTTAAAAAATAACCTACCATGTTTTTATGAAGCATAACTTTTTTTTTTCGAGAATGGCACTGTTTTATATTTTTGCAAATCTTTTAATGTTTGGCTTAGTAGAAAGCAGCTGGATTCTCATCAGCCTTCAGACTATTTCAATAAGTCATTTTGGGTGAAGTATAAAAAGAAAATCCAACCTCAGATGTATAATTGGAAAAGGGAGGAGTATTGTAATAGCCTTTTCAAATAATTGGAGATATTATTCTTTGATATTGCTCCATAACTTGATAAATGGTCATTTTTTTAACATTTAATTGTAATGTGGAATCTCAAACCATATCCATGAATTTTTGTATTCTGTAATATTGAAATGTGTTGTTCTATTGGGCACTTCGAATTGATTTTATAGTAGGAACTTAGAGCATGAATTTATAACGATCCCTTGGCATATTGAAAAAGATTCACTGAATTATTCAGATCTTCCGAATATTGACACATTTCACTATACAATATCAAAAGATTATATGTGTTAATATCACCACTGATATTATCAGGAAAGTATTTAAGTGTTAGGAACTGTAAGCTTCTGGTAATGGATACAAATTTCCCAAAACTATACATATTTTTTAAAGGTCAGCTTTTATCACTGGCAGTAAAAACTGTTGGTTATTTTTCTTGAAATGACAAGGTCACTTTATTCGTTTTGCCAACTATTCATCTTGAATAACCAGAGTTTGTCTGCCAGTCAATACTTGAAGAAAAACGGTGTTCCATGAAAAAAAGCAACTATGTTCAGCTTGCAAGACAAGCACATAGTGCTTTTCTTCAAGACAACCTCATATATCAGTATGCAGAAGTGCTTTATGTGTTTTTCCCATTTTGTGACACATTAATATTAAACAGATGTGTTCTCAAGGGTTGATTTAATAAAATTAATTATTTTTACTTCCTCATCAAAGACATGCTTAAATGAAAGTGGCTTTTTTTTTTTTTTCCCTGGGAGTGCCTTGGCAGCGAAGAACACAGCGACAGCTGACATTCTGGCGCCTCCACCTCGAGTCTGCTAAGGCACCAGCAGCCTCACCCGACAGTGGTGCTTTCCCACCAACAGTGCAGATGTCAGCACAGTGAAAAAGGCAGACAAGGTTTCGGTCTTATTAGAAAAATAGTTTTCACCTTGCAAACCCCCTGAAAAAGTGTCAGGTCCGTGGACCCCATGTCAGGGGCCACTGGTCTGAGGTCTCTCACCAGTAGTTCCTGGTTGAAAGGGACTTTGGGAATCATCCGATACTGTTCTCCGAAGTGGCGTCCACAGTCTGTAAGCGGTAGGGTCGCCAGCGTGGCCTGCCAGAAGTGCGTAGGCCCCACGCCACACTTCTCGAATCAGAACCTCTGTGGGAAGGGCTCAGGAATCTTCCCTCTTAAGGTTCTTAGGCGATTCTCTTGTGCCCTAAATCACTTATCCAGTCTGACCTTTTTACTTTATAGAGGTAAATTGGTCCCCAAGAGTGGCTTTCCCTGAGTTGCAGCTATTTGAGGACGAGCCTTCAAAGTGGCCTGCAGCCTCTCTCCCTTCTCTGCCACCATCTTCAGCCCGCTCACACAAACCAGCTGCGGAGATGTGGGGAAAGACCAGAGATTTTTTGTATATACAAAGCACTGTGTCGTTACCACTTTTCTCAAATCAGTCGACCTCCTCCCTCCTCCCCTCTCCTCTCTAACACACGCGTGCACACGCAGAGCCCCCACGTACCTTCTTCATTTCAGTATGAGTGGTACAGATATTCTGGAATTTCTTCAGCTTGCGTTTGGACTGGATACTGTCTTTCCGTGTCTCTCTTTTTATAGTGAGGGGATTTGTTTCACTTAATAAAAACAAGTTCAAGCCAGTGTTAAAATGAGTCTTGTATTCACTGAGTTCGTGCTTTCCGGAAAGGCGTCAGCACGAGAGTAGATTCTAGGAAGGAATGTGAAAACAGCACGTGAAACATTGTCCTTCCTGGCAGAGGACCTTGATCTTGAGGTTCATGTTTGTTACACAGTCAACAGTTTCCATTCATTTCAGGAAGCATTGGGTATTTACTCTGTACACCATAATATCCTAGATGTTGAAATAGAGATAAATAAGGTAGTCCCTCTTTTCTGTAAATTCATGAATGAGCCACACTACAAAGCCTGAACCAAGAAACGAAAATTGGTACCTCGGCCACTCGGTCCCCTTAGTGATAAGCTGCATCGGAATCAGACGTCTCGTTTATGTGCCCAGTGTCTGTGATGATTAAAGGTCTTGTCTCACATCTGCATTGCAGTGCACTTCAGAGTAATGACAGCAGCTCAGCAGTGCGGCCCAGGGAATCTGAGAGACCCGTCCAGGGGGCCTGTGAGACCAAAACTGGTGTTATGATGACGCCGAAGCTTGTTTGTCCTTTTCATTCTCATTCTTACAGTGTTCATTGGAGTTCCCAGAGGCAGCTTAATGTGTGACCTTGCAGTAGATTAAATGCAGAAGCAGATGTGAGAATCCAGTAAAATTAAAGAGATTTGCAGAAATAGATTATAAGTCTTCTCCCTAAATATAGCTTTTTTTCAATGAAAACTTATTTATGTTTACATGATAGGTTTTTACTGGTTTTAAATTAATAACTTTTTAAAATTTGTTTTTATTTTTGATACGTTAAATGTTGGTGGATGTAACGAAAGGGTCCAGAGACCAAAAAGTTTGAAAATTGATGATATTGTTTAGGAGTTTATGACATAACTGAGCCGTAGGTCGCCTGCTTGCATACTTTGACCCATGCTAAATGTTTAAGATTGCAGGTTGTCCTTTTTAAAATGCATTTCTCTCAGACTTTTTAAATCAGGCTTTTACTTACATTAAAAAGTCTTGTTTCTGTTGATTTTTGTTAGTTGACCAGGTTGAGCAAATGATCAGTTTTTCTGAGGAGTAAGTAAGTCTTTAGTTAGCAACATCTTTTTGAGAGCCTGCAGCTCTGTCGTCGGTGACGACGCCGAAGGGCACGTGGCGTGGCTGTTAGATTGTCCCCTTCGCAGCGTGGCCACAGTCTGCCCCGTCGGTAGCTCTGTGCAGTGATGCTTTTAAACGTCTGAAAAAATACACATATTGCCTGTCTCTTAGTATTTCCAGGTATTCTGCCCAGTTGTGACACTAATCTGGGTATGTCATACTGTAGAAATTGGTTTACTTACAAAAATTAGGAAGCAGTCTATTTTTTTCAAAGATAATCGCTTTTAAAACTGTTAAAATTATTTTATAGTAACTTTTTTTCTTTTTCAAGTGTTCCTTGGTTGGCTTAAGTTCCAGTTGTCTGTGATTCTTATGTCATTTCTCACAGTAAAAACTTTATCTCATTGAATATTAAATATTTATTGAGCTCTTAGTAATGTGCCAGGTGTTGTGCTAGAAACGTAATAAAGTGACATGCAGGACAGATACAGCTCCAGTCTTTGTGGAGCTTAGGGTCTTGGAGAGAGAGAGACTATTAAACTAGTTATTATATGAGTAATATAGAGTACATAGCAAGGGTCTTAATTAACCATGTCCAGTGTGAGACAGTTTGCATGAGGCGAGGTCAGGAACAGCTAATTCATCCCAAAGCCAGAATTTTCCCTGGGTTATTGGTTGTACCCAAATGGATTAGTTATTGTTCTTGTAAGAGTAATTTAGCTTACATTTTCTTCATCGTTCAACATTTGGTTTTGCAGGTGGATGATAATTAACTGGAAGAAATTGCCTTATATTAGTTTTTATCAGTAACACATAGAGATTCTGCATAGTGCAATGACCTCTTTGATTCCTTCCTCATAATAATAAAAATATTCTTTAGGAACAGAGAAAGATAAAAACAGATCCCATCTGGAAGTTGAATTTACAAGGGCTTATTATAATTACTATATCTTTTCTTTCTCTAGTTATAATCGTTGGTTATGTCAAGCAAGATCTGAGGATCTCTCTGACATTGCTTCTCTAAAAGCCTTATACCAAACAGGTGAGCTTGAGAATATGCTAATTTATTCTTTTAGTAATTAAGGGCCCTAGCTAGGATGCTATTAGAGAGTTCATTTTTCTCTGATTTTGTCCATTTCATCCATGAATAAAATGTTTTTGTACTAACGAAGGTAGTTTTTGCACTAATGATGATAGTTTTTGCTCGTTATCAAGAACTTAAAAATAACTTCTCAACCTATAAAATTTTCAACTTGTTCTACATTGACCAACTTCACTTCTTATTGTTCTTTTTGTTATCTTTCTTTCTTTTTTTCTGCTTTTAAAAGTACCATACACTTGCTATACAAAATTCAAACCCTGTATAAACATACAATGGAAGCAGTGAAAGTTCTCAGATTCCTACTCTGTCTCTCTTATATTTCTTTTTCAGACAGCTCTTGTTAATTTTTAGATTCAGTTCCATTTAGTTCCTGGATCACTCGTGTTATTAAAAGTTGTAGTGAGCTTAAGAAAAAAGCTATTTATAGAAAGATCTTTGCCCTGCAACCATACCTTTGACTGCCCCTGATTTAAAAACCTGTCAGAGGCCTTATCTTAAAGGAAGGGCAGTCATCAAAATCTCATAAAGCTTAAAAAAAAAAAAAAAAAAAAGGCGCTGTTTTCCACACAGTGAATGAAATCTGACGGTGAAATTTGAAAAACATATGTTTCTGGTTTTCAATCTTTTATATTTGCATAGAATATTTTAATAAGGTCAGAGCCCAAGACAGTAACACTTTTGGAATGAAGGGTCTGGATGCTGATTACATTTCCTGTTTGTAGGTGTCGATCACTGTGGCCGCACGGTGATGGTGGTAGTCGGAAGAAACATTCCCGTGACGTTAATAGATATGGACAAGGTAAGCCACGAAAAGGCTCTATTTTACAAAAACGTTGATTTTAAAATAAAGAGGCTATGAATTTGGAGTCAGGCCTTAGGACATGAGATGACACAGAACTGCATATCTTTGGCAGAGCAGCAGCCCTGATTCCGCAAGTTTGTGCGTGCCATTTTGGTAAGGTACGGGTTTGGCCTTGCTGTGTAAGAGAAACAGTCATGTGATCTCCAGAAAGGCAGCTGCTTCGTTACGGACGTGATGTAACTGGCAAAACTTTGGTTGGAATCATTCTGTATCATAATTATACATCAAAGTCTGCCTTTCTTGCAATAAGAAAAATTGTGTATCTATCTGAGGAGAAGAAACCAGAGATGTAGTTAACCTAAGATGTCATAATTTCATAATCTCTTCGTTTGGAGGCAAAGGACTGAAATAGATGATTCAAAAAAGAAGAAATGGTATTACTGGTAAATGAAAATAAAAAATGTTCAACCTGGTTAGTAGTCCAAAGAAAGTGAGTGAAAACGGGGTACCTCTTCTCGCCTTCACAATTAACGAGAGCTTTTAAATCGTTGTGATCAAAGATAAATTGAAACTATAAAAGTGCTCGCACCCATGGACCCATTCATTCCTTTCCTAAGAATCTGTACTAAGGAAGTGATTCGAAGTATGGAAGAAGCCGTTGGCCCTGAAATGGCCCAACTAGGAAAACTCGGGCACAGGACGCATGAATGAATTGTTTGATTTCACAGGATAAATATGTAGATCTTCTTAAAACATCAGTTTTATTAGAAACCAATTACAAAGGAGGAGAATCACTTTAATACATAATTCTTAACCACAGTAAAAAAAACCGTGTACTTAAAAACATAAAAATTACACACAATTTTAAGATAGTTGTGCAAAAACAGATAAATGCTTCTGGCTAAGCCCTTAGGCTCCTGGTCACTGGCGTTTGGGTAAAAATTATGAAAGCACTGGACCTGGCATGTAACTCACAGGCTAATTCATAGCATGAAATTGTAACTTACATTCCTAACAGGTAAGTATGGTTCATCAGCAAATGGAATGTTCTATGACCCTTTAAAATTCTGGTTATAGAGGCAAATACTGTAGAGAAATGTTTATAATATCAATAGGATAAAAACTGATACATTAAATTGTATATACACGGACTCTTTTTTTAAAACATTAAAGGTTAAAAACTGGAAGTAAATGTCCCAAAATGGATTTCATGGTTTGGGGGAGAATTTGTTTTCTCCCCTTTTTCTGTCATGTGGCTATACTTTTTTATAATGAAAATATTTAAGTTAAAGATGGGGAGTGTGAAGCTAAAAATGGGTGTCTTAATTGCCCTGAGGATGGGGAAGAGAGTGGATAGAAAGGGCTAGAATCAATCTGGTAAGAGCAAAAATAATAATAAAATATAAAATAATATAATAATAATTCACATAAAGAAGATACATATATAGCTCACATATGTAAAGCAAATTACATGATTAGTAAGTTTCTATTTGTGGTCATTCGTTTTATGTTATCAGTAATCACTATGACATTCATCCTCCCCATTAATAACGAGCGTGAGACCAGCAAAAACATAACTCCCCACGTCTGACTTCAGCGTGCACTTGCATGGCATCTGGGTGTTCGTGAGGTTTCATTTCATATAAAATAATGACATGCGTGGTAAGGTCAAGCCAGGTAACTACTCGAAAGATACTGTGTTTCCTTCATGCCCTCCCCTGTCTGCTCTGGTCACGGTGGTTGGATCTGAGTCCGTGGCGATCCCGTCACGTTATTGCCAAGGGCTCCCCAGGGAGGTCTGGGAACTGGCCTCTGTGACAGCCGCTTCCCCTTACGGTTCAGCCACACCACGGGGCCAAACGGGCCCTGCCCGACTGCAAATCTGCTTTGCGTTTCCCTTACATTTCATGCCTCTTAATGGAATGTCGCTAACTGAACTGGGCCGCACTGAATTTGAGTCTTGCACAGTCTTCCCAGAAATGCCACCCAGCCCATTGCCACCTGCTGGCCAAACCTGTTCTCGTTTTCCTGGTTCAGATCAGCATCACGGATGCCAAGAAAATGAGCCCTCGCAGCGACCCCTGTGAGGCAGTGCTCACTGTTCTTGTGCAGTAATTCTTGGTTAAGTGAGCCATGAGTCTGTATCTGAGTAGAAACTGCAAAGACTTTCCATTGAATTCAAGCAAAAGCTAAAAGAATGGTTAACATCCAGACATTCTTCTGATGCTGATTTTGATAGCACTGTCTTAGAGAGAGAACCTGGCGTGTGACAGAAGCACAGGAAGCGCTCTTTGACAGGATAGAGACTGTCCTCTGTCGCTTAGAACAAGACTAAAAAGGAGCCGTACTGCGGCCCCACGAGAATTACTACACCCTGGCACGCTGCACTCTCCCGAAGCTCTTTTCAAAGGGAATTGATACTCGCCAGTCCGATGTCATCTGCGGTGCCTGGGGCGCAGATTAGATGAATCGTTTGGGTTTTTCCTCTCTCTCGGTCTCTGTGAAATAGACTACTGAGCAAAATGATCTTTCCCTTGACTCCTCTTTTTCTTCTAGGCGCTCTTATATTTCATCCACGTAATGGACCACATTGCTGTGAAGGAGTATGTATTAGTGTATTTTCACACACTGACCAGCGAGTACAATCACCTGGACTCTGACTTCCTGAAGAAACTCTACGACGTGGTTGATGTCAAGTTAGTTGTTTTTGCAAATTATGAAGGGGAAACAGCTTCTTTATCTTTATCTCCTAATATGAAGCAGTAGCAAACATTGCTGTGTATTCTATGAAAGCATATTTCATATAACAAAGATTTTTATCATTCATAGGTTAGATATTTTAATACTAGGAGGACCTCCTTAACTTCATCTTATCACATTTAAATTCATATGTAAACTTTCGCCTGCTTTTAAATACCTTGAAAAAGGTTCAGGGGTCATTACCAGTCTTCATTTATAAAATAACAAGCGTACTACCTTCTATTGATAAGCTGTGTTACGCTTGTCGAAATACATATATAAACATTATTTCATTTGATCTAGTGACCCATAAGTTTAATTCATAATCTGATCCCGGAGATTCTAGCGCTGTATAAAAAAGCACACAGGAAGTTTGTTTAAATTTTGAATTTTATGAATTCAAGTTAAATATGAATTTACTTTGTCCTACCTGTAGATAGATAAATATAGGTATTATCTACATTTGAAAGATGGGGAAATACAGACATTCCGAAAGGCAGAGTGTGTTGCCCAGGGTCTCAGAGCAGTAATGCAGAATTCGGACTTGAACCTGGGATACTGACTTGGAGCCAGAAAATTGTTTGCATTAAACCATGTTCCCTTGAAGTGATAATGGAAATTTTAACCAGAACATATAGATACCCCACTGCAGCAAAGATAAAATGTTCTGCTTTGCATTTTTTTCTCATTCTCATCGATTTCCTAAATAAAAACAGTCCTCACCCTCCCGGTGCGTGCTTGCTGCTGGCAGCATCGCAGCATCCCTGTGGATTACACTGAAAATGCCGCATCACAGTTAGTGTGCAGAGGAGGCAAACCACCGCGCATTTCCGAGTGCCTAGCTCCTCCCATCAGACCTCACCCTGATTGGGAACGTGAAAGCTCTCCTTACCTAGCGCACACCTTTGTCACTTGCTCTGAGTGTGGTCGTGTAAGGACGCTTCACTCCACTGATTCCGCCTCTGCCACTAACGGCTCTTCACCGCGAACAGGCCTCAACAATGAAAGGAAGAATTTATACTGTTTCTCTGAAGTCCTCTGCAATTAGCCTTCTGTGGCCCAAAGATGCTTAATAATAGGCTGTTGAAATAATTTCAGGCATGCCTGGAAAGAGTACATAGAATAGTGGATAGGGCGCGATTCTGGAGCCATGCTGCTTAGGTTCAGTCTCTGGCTCTGCCACTTGTTGGTTGGGTGACTTTCAGAAGCTTAGAACAGACATAATATTAGCTCTCAGCTCAGTGAATTGTTTCGAGAGTTAAATATATAAAGCCTTTGTGCATACAATTTGTGGGACACAGTAAACTCCCTATATTTGTTGTTGTAATATGACTGTTGAAACGTTTAGTTTCTAATTTTTGCTATAATGTAAGTGGTTGTAGTGTTTTTTAGTTCATAACCTGATCCCAGAGAGTCTTATTAGCATCATGTGAAAAAAAGGGCACGCAATAAATTTGTTTGTAAAGTACGATTTTACTTTGTCCTACCTGCAGGTGGCTCTATTACAGCCAAGAAAATATCTCCTATAAAATAGATACTTTAAATAATGCAGTGTTCTCGGAATTGTTTTATGGTATCTTACCTAAAATTTAGTATGTAAGCTAAAGCTGTTTAAAAAACTATTTTTTTCCTCCGAATACTCAGGTAAAGAATTAATTGTCCATCATAGTGACTGGTTTTAAGCATGACTTATACTGATCCTTTTTTTCCTTTTTTTTTTTTTTTAATATTGAATCAGGTACAAGAGGAATTTGAAGGCTGTTTATTTTGTTCATCCAACATTTCGTTCCAAGGTACAGTATTTTTCTTTTTCGCTAAATCTTGAGTTTAAGCGCACAGCATGCCAGCATATTAAGATATGTGTCAACATCTCAATTCTCCGCCTTCCACGTGAACTGCTTGCTTTGTTCCCCCTTCCCTTTTAAGCGATGTCAAGTTGCGACCCTGACGTTTTGGTCTCAGGTGTCACTCCAGTGTCTGCACGGCCCTCGCGGGCCCTTCGCCTCGCCGTCCTGCCTGTCCGTGCTCTCGGTTCATGGTGCTGCTCCAGAGTACCCTGTCCCGCCTCCGCTCATGGCCGACTCCTGTTTCTCCTCCAGATCTCAGCTCAACAATTACTTTCTGTAGAAAACCCTCCCTGACCCGTCCTGCAGCTAGTAGGTACTCCCGCATTGCACCCCCTAAGATTTTATAGTCTCCTGTCATCACATTTGTGATTCGAATTAGTTGCTGAATTTCTGCCATGTATGTTAGCCCGCAAGACCCATGAGAGCCGGAATACAGCTGTCTTGCTCGTGGTTATATCCCTGGTATCTGATCCTACATCCTGGCTTCAGGACATCTTTGGTTCTTCTACTTTTTAAAAAATGTCATCTTTTTTGTCTTTATTTTCCTCCCTGTCCAGCCGAAAACCCACGTTCCCTCACTTCAGCCACTCTCGTCAGCACTTGTCCATCATTCTGCTTCCTTAGCTCCTTCGACCGCACTTGTCCATCATTCTGCTTCCTTAGCTCCTTGCGTGTGGGTTGCTGAGCACAGAGCCGTGTGAGGTTGGGCTGCTCAGCAGCCTCCCGGGGCTTGCGTGGCCAGGGCCTTTGACATTTCACTTGACAGTGGCCCACCCAGCGTGGCCATCTGCTCTCCTCAAGCCCTGTCCTGCCAGCAGCTCCTCACTCCAACGTCTGGCCTTGCCTCGCTCTTAACCCAGAACACAGAACACGTCCGTAAGCGCTCCAGTCCCTCTGCCTGGGCTCCGGATCCACAGTAATAACAGCAGCTGATGCTTTCGAAGCACTCGCTCGGTGCCAGTCCTGCCCGTGCATTAGCCTTTAAGTCTCACGATAAACCCGTGAAGTAGATGTAGTAGTGTTCCTACTTTAGAGGCATGGAAATCGGCGCTTAGAGAGATTAAATAACGCTTCCCGGTGAGCCGCTAACACGTAGCAAAGACTGGGTTTGAATCTAGGCACTTCGGGGCTTACCCGTAACGGCGCAGTGTGTTCGCATCTCCTCGGGAACCTCTCCCCGCTAATCCTCTCCCGTTTTCCTAGATCTAACTCTAGTTTAACCATGCTAAAGCCTCCACTTACCTCTCTCCCCTTTACAACCAGAATTTGCCTCCGTTTTTTCATACACTTTAAATTACGCCAACCTGGTGCAGATCCCTCTATGGCAACCGAAGCTGCTTGCCCCCGAATTACTGGTAATCTCTGTTTCTAAAGGCAGCAGACACTTTTCCGTCTTTATCTTACCTGTTTCCCTATAGTCTCAAACACAGCCGATCACTTCTTCCTCAAAACGCTTTGCCTTGGCTTCTCTGAAACGTAACCTTGCCTAGTTTTTCTCCTCCTTCTAGCCACTCGTTCTCAGTCTCCTTTGCTGTCTCCTCTCTCCTTACTCATTCTTTGAATGTTACTGTTCCCGGGTCCTCTGCCCTCATCTTTCATTCTGTACCTTTTTGCGTTCCTGTGTCTTCGGCGTGCAGTTCCCAGATACACATCTGGGGAAGCAGTGAAGCCTGCTGTTTGAAAGCAGGGCTTCAGGAGTCAGGTCTATAGCTTCTGCTTCCAGCTCTTCCAGTTACCAACTTATCATCTCAGGCAAGTTCTGTAACCTCTCTGTGCTTTAATTTCATCTTCTATAGAATGGGAATGATGATAGTACCTACCCTGGTTGTGTTGTTGGAAGGACCCAGTTAGTTTATACACGTAAAATGCTTAAAACATTACCGGGCACATGTTAGACACTCAGTAACATTCGCCGCCGTCGTCGTCAGTCCTGTACTTAGACCTCCGTGTTGAACTGCTGATTAGATGTCATCGCTTAGCCGTCTCACCCCTGCGGGTCAGCATTGTAGAGACAAAACTACTCGTGTCCTCCTGTCTCGCGCACTCCCACACTGCGTTTCGTATTCCGTATCTTAGTAAGTGGGACCACCGCCTACCCAGAGGCCAAAGCCAGAAACCAGAAAGCATTCTCGGGTACTTTCCTGACCTCACCGCTCCCCAGATCGCATCGTTTCCGTGTGCTCGCTGTTGCCTGGATCCGTGCCTGCATCTTTCGTCCCACCGCATCCACTTTAGTTCATCCCCCATCATCTTTCACCTGAAAGGGTGCAGCCGCCTCCTCATCGATGTCCGTGCTGCCCTCCCTTTAGGATAGCACTGTGCCAAGTGCCTTCGGGCCTTCCTAGTGAATTTTTCTCACAACGTTAATATAAGAAGCCTCAAGTATTTATTATAGGGTCCTTTGCAAAAGCTTATCAAGACTGGCTTTAGGCCAAAAAAAAAAAAAAATCTGAGTATATCAGTGGGGTTTGGAGAAAAGATGACTTATTTGGGCATAAAAATCCAGGACTTCATGATTTATTGGATGAGTAGGAGTGAGAGAAAGGACTGTCATCTCCATCCCTGGTGTCATCAGATGTGGGGCTCATGGATCGAGACATAAATGTGAGAGTCACCATCAAGTAAACAGAGCTTTAACTCCTCAAATGTGCCGGTGAATAAAATCACAGAGAGAGTTAGAGCAGAGAGGACAACTAAAGACA